TATCAGGTCGTAATTTAGGGTTTCCTGATGTGTCAAGTACAATACTTGACGGGTTACTTAAAGGGTTACCTGACGTGTCAAATATTGTACTATTAATTTTGAATGTTAATTAAAAGTTTTATTTGTATTTTTTTTAATAAATAGCATTTCCGTTTCCGCATCCGTTTCTGTTTCTGCAAAAAAATATCTTTAACATCTATTTCCGTTTCTGCTTCCGATATGACACTTCCGTTGCATCACTACTGCTGACGGGCCGGCCTCCTTGGCCGGCGGCTGGCCCTCCAACGTCTGCGGCGTTGCACCACTAAATCGTCTCTGGTCCGACTCTTGCTGGCGTTGACTTCGGGTACGGACACCCTCCGTGTCTTCCTTCGGTAAAATCGGCATAACTTTATCCCACTTCTGATACCAATTGTCACGAGCTTAGGGTTAGTGACAGTAAAAACTGCCGATAGAATTACCAAAATTGACACTTTAATTACTGAACACCAATTAAAACTTAAATCACACTAATAATTAATTACACTTAACGCTTTAGTTCACTTTATTTCTCTCTGAAAGCTTTGCTCGTATCGCTAATTCAATACTACCCCGGGCGCCGCCCCAAAACGGCTTTATATAGGCCTTTTCCATCGAAACATCTAGAATGTTGCGGCAAATACCGGTCCCGACCGACTAGATGTAGAATATTCGAGTGTGGACTTTTTCAGAAAGCTTAATTCTTCTATTCGATACTAGATGGTGCTGTTGGTGGAAAGTTCAGGCATGGCATTTTGTAGAAAGCTCTCCTCGCTCTGCTCCCCGACACTAGATGGCGTTAGGGGCATCAATTACGGCTTGCAACAATAATACTCCAAAGCTCAAGCATGCCTATTCACTTCTAAAAGGAGAGAAGTGACGACTCCGTAGCGAAGTGGTTTAGCAATGAGTGGCTGCGCTGGGGGTCGCGGGTTCGAATCCCGCACGGAACAAGTATTTGTATGGCCTACAAATAGTTGTTCCGGGTCTGGATGTTTGTACTTGTGCAATTTATGTTTGTAAACTGCCCCCATGATACAAGAGAAAATCTTAGTGTAGGGGTAACATTTAAAAAAAAAGCCTCATCTTGGGCCTTACTTTCCAGCTAGTATTTTTGATAGCACCAACCATCATCAATTGTTGAGGGTTATGACTGCCTCGAACCTCAGCTTTAACCTGTTCAACCGCCATCTAAAGGAAATTTAGTTGTTCACTCTATTAGCCAAGGTCTGACCCTTTAAAATGATTTTGGGTGTATGGGTGCTGTTACAGCTTTAAATGCTTCAAAGAATTATATTATCTTCTACTAATATCATACAAGGCTGAACCATGTTGCAGATATATATATATATATATATATATATATATATATATATATATATATATATATATACATTTGCCGTGTAGTGGCGGTTAAGAATATCCACTACCCCATATCTTCCCGTGGGTGTCGTAAGAGGCGACAGAGGGAGACAGGCAGGAGATGGGCAGCAGCGTCTTCCTGATGACAACTGTGACGTAATAAAAAACTGCGGTTGCCAACCCGCTCGCCAAGCGTGGCTGCACTATGGCAAATAACCCCCCAATGAATAAATACACAAACAGACGGCCCCCAGTCCCCGGCGGCCCCGCTATTCCTCGCTACGGTGGCGACCATGGTAACGGCGGGGCAGGGGGTGCTAAGAATCTCCGGTGGAGGTTCGGTTGCCACCTACGACGACTCGACCTGGCAACATATAACGCACGCACCCTGAGGACTGACGAGAAGATACTGGAGCTGGAAGAAGAGGTAGACAAGTTGCGCTGGCATATTATTGGATTATCCGAGGTCCGAAGAGAGGGGGAGGACACGGCAATCCTCGAGTCCGGCAACTTGTTCTATCACCGGGAGGGCGACCATCTGTCCCAAGGAGGTGTCGGATTTATCGTCCACAAATCTCTCGTCAACAACGTTGTAAAGATTGGGAGTGTGTCGACGAGGGTCGCGTACCTGATACTCAGAATCACCAAACGGTATTCGCTGAAGGTCATTCAGGTTTACGCACCAACCTCGGCACATCCCGATGAGGAGGTGGAGGAAATGTATGAGGATATTTCCAGAGCCATACATTCCTCCAAAACCTACTACACGGTGTTGATGGGAGACTTCAACGCAAAACTGGGCACAAGAGAAAGCGGTGAGCTGAAGGTAGGGAAATTTGGAGTAGGGCAACGGAACCGAAGGGGCCAGCAGCTGGCCGACTTTATGGAGAAAGAGGGACTCTTTATGATGAACTCTTTCTTCCAGAAGCGGCCCCACAGGAAGTGGACCTGGTCGAGCCCCGACGGTTCGACAAAAAATGAGATTGACTTCATTATGACGACCAGACGCCAACTGTTCAGTGATGTCTCAGTGATCGCAAGGGTGAAAACTGGCAGCGATCACCGAATGGTTAGAGGCACACTGAACCTAAACGTTAAGTTGGAGAGGTCTCGTCTAATGAAGTCAACGCTCCGTCCCCCCTCGTGCTCTAATCCAGAATCCCGAAACCTTTCAGCTCGAGTTACGTAACCGCTTCCAGTGCCTAGAAGATTGCAATGCAGTGGACGATATGAACGACAAGCTCGTGGAAACTGTCCATGCGGTCGGAGCTAAGTTCTGCAAGACCCGCCGCAGAAGAACACAAAAACTCTCCGATCACACTCTTAATCTCATGGCTGTTAGACGGGAGATGAGGCTGCAATCTTCAACAGATTTGACAGCATACAGGCAACTGAACAGACAGATCTCCAAATGCATACGGCGAGACTTACGCAACTTTAATACTTCTCGTATTAAAGAAGCGATCGAGCGGAACCAGGGCTCCAAAGTCTTTGCCAGAGATCTGTCTGCCAGAAAGAGCCAACTGTCAAGGCTGAAGACTGAGTGTGGCAACATCGTTTCCGGGACACCTGAGATTTTGAGTGAGATTGAGAGGTTCTATGGGCAGCTGTACACATCATCGTTGGAGCCACACGCAAGTGTGAGTAACGATCCAAGAGCAAGTCTTATCCGACACTATTCCGATGATATCCCGGAAGTCAGTCTAAGCGAGATTAGAATGGCTCTCCAGCACCTTAAAAACGGCAGGGCCCCAGGCGAGGATGGAATTACAGCGGAGCTTCTGAAAGCGGGTGGAACACCGGTACTTGAAGTCCTTCAGAAGCTCTTCAATTCCGTCCTCCACGGTGGCACTACTCCAGAGGCGTGGAGCAGAAGTGCGGTGGTCTTGTTCTTTAAGAAAGGCGACAACGCTCTCTTAAAGAACTACAGACCGATTTCCCTTCTGAGCCGCGTCTACGTGCTGTTTTCGAGAGTCATTACGAATCGTCTCGCACGCAGACTTGACGACTTCCAGCCTCCCGAACAAGCCGGTTTCCGAAAAGGCTTCAGTACCATAGACCACATACATACCCTGCGGCAGATTGTACAGAAGACTGAAGAGTACAATCTGCCACTTTGCCTGGCGTATGTGGACTATGAGAAAGCCTTTGATTCCGTCGAAATTTGGGCGGTGCTACAGTCCCTTCAGCGGTGCCAAGTTGACTGTCGGTATATCGAAGTGCTGAAGTGTTTGTACAGTAAGGCTACGATGGCTATCCGAGTACAGAACCAGAGCACGAAACCTATCCAACTGCAGAGAGGTGTAAGACAGGGTGACGTTATATCCCCGAAACTCTTCACCGCTGCATTGGAAGACGTTTTCAAGCTACTGGACTGGAAAGGATACGGTATTGACATCAATGGCGAGTACATCACTCACCTTCGATTTGCCGACGATATAGTCCTTATGGCAGAATCGCTGGAGGACTTAAGCACTATGCTCAATGACCTCAATAGTGCCTCCCAACGGATAGGTCTTAAGATGAACATGGACAAAACAAAGATCATGTTCAATGTCCATGTCACACCTATGCCGGTAGTTGTTGGGAGCACTATGCTCGAAGTTGTTGACGAATACGTTTACCTGGGACAAATAGTCCGACTAGGTAAGTCCAACTTCGACCGAGAGGTCAATCGACGGATTCAACTCGGCTGGGCAGCGTTCGGGAAATTACGGCATATCTTTTCGTCAGGTATACCTCAATCTCTAAAAACTAGATTGTACAACCAGTGCGTGTTGCCAGTGATGACTTACGGATCTGAGACGTGGTCCTTCACTGCTGGCCGTATGAGGACGCTTAAGGTCGCTCAGCGAGCTATGGAGAGGGCTATGCTCGGAGTTTCTCTGCGTGATAGACTCAGAAATGAGGATATCCGCAGTAAAACCAGAGTGACTGACATAGCCCAACGGATTAGTAAGCTGAAGTGGCAATGGGCCGGCCATATAGCTTGAAGAACCGATAACCGATGGGGAAGAAAGGTTCTCGAGTGGCAGCCTCGTACCGGTAGGCGTAGTGTAGGGCGACCCCCCACTAGATGGAGTGACGACCTGGTAAGACATGCAGGAAGTCGATGGATGCAGGTGGCTCAGGACCGTGCTTTGTGGCATTACTTGGGGGAGGCCTATGTTCAGCAGTGGACTTGTGAAGGGCTGTAATGATGATGATGATGATATATATATTAAGCAAAAATGGGTTGGCTCGACCGGGGAGACCATGGGGTCCTGCAGAAAACCAGAGTAAAATAGCAGCTTAATTAATTAAGAGTTGTTATGTAGTGCAGAGAATTGGAGACTACTGAAAATGTAGCATTCCAACTTAGTCCGTTCTTGATTGAGGATAAATATAGATGTCCAGGGGCCACCATATCCATTTCCATTCATCAGGTGGACTATGGGCGTGTTTGTCACTTATTCTATTAAAAAAATATCTAATAAAAATATATTGGTTGATTTATAGTAGTATTGTAGTCTGGTAAATATTATATAAAATAAATTACATAATATATGCTGTCATTTTTAATGATCTTATTAACAGAAGTATTAATAATAATTTTACTATATTACAACTATTCACAATGTCTAATGGTGTGTATCCTTGGGATCTGGCTTTCCAAACTCCTTCTCCCACATGGCAATGAATTCTTTCTTCCTTTGTTCACGTTTCTTGAAGTACTCAGGATATTGAGCTTTCTCCAAGGGATGCCAATAATCGAGCACCCAGTCGGGAGGTGTTACGACACGCTCGTAAGCCACACCCCCAGGACTTTTGGCAACTGGGAAAAAAATACACTTTATTAAAATATTTTTCTACAATGGGAAAGGCTAAAGGTATGTTACACAGATATATTAAGGTGGCTCAATTGACAGTCACACACATTCTAACCAACTTGCAAACACTTTTCAAAGCCACAATATGAAATATCCTTTATTCAAATCTACTATTGTTTAAATGTGGTTCTGTTTACGTCATGCCAGTTCCAATTACTGTTGATGGTGAAATTCTCGAAGTTGTGAACGAATATACCTACCTCGGGCAGATATTGCAACTAGGTAAGAATAACTTCGAGAAGGAAGCTGATTGGAGGATTCAGTTGGGCTGAGCAGCATTTAGAAAGATCCGTCGGGTTTTCTCGTCGCCCATACCGCAAAGTCTGAAGACAAAGGTCTTTAACCAGTGCGTTCTGCCCGTACTCACTTATGGTGCCGAAACGTGGACGCTGATACATCTGCTCCAAAGGCTTAAAGTCGCTCAGCGAGCAACGGAAAGAGCTATGCTCGAAATTTCCCTGGTAGACAAAATTCGAAATGAAGAAATCCGCCTGAAAACCAGGATTACTGACATAGCTTTCCGTGTTTGTAAGCTGAAGTGGCAATGGGCTGGTCACGTCTGTCGCAGAAGTGACAATCGGTGGAGTAGAGACTGCGTCTAGGCAAACGTAGTGTGGGACGCTCCCTGACCAGATGGAGCGACGATTTGCGCAAGGTGGCTGGTAGGAACTGGATAAGTGTAGCCGAAGATCGGACTAAGTGGCGCGCCTTTGGAGGGGCCTATGTCCAGCAGTGGACTGCAGGCTGATAATAATGATGATGTTCATCACAAGTCTCTTTGTAACCAGTTTTTCACCTAGTATTACTTTTAGTTTTGTGGTAGCAGTGGGTTCAGCGGCACATTCAATCTCACACTGAAGGGCTCTATCTGCAATATCAACTCTCAGGATCAGTCATGCTCTGGTCACTGAGTTATGCTCAGTGGGACAAATGGGTGGATTTGGTTCAGAGCAGATCAAGTTTGCTGTCTAAGTCATGGTACTGCATGGACACTAAATAACAATAATTATTGTTGGTCGACTCTAACACTTCATGTGAACAGATTTTTTTTTTATAGAAGAAGGGGCAAACGAGCATGCGGCTCACCTGATGTTAAGTGACTACCGCCGCCCATGATCAACCGCAACACCAGGAGAATTGCGGGTGCATTGCCGGCCCTTTAGAAAGGAGTAGGCTCTTTTCTTGAAGGTCCCCAGGTCGTATCGGTCCGGAAAAATCGCCGGTGGTAAACTATTCCACAGAGAGGTTGTACGTGGAAGAAAACTCCTTGTGAAACGTACAGTGGTGGACCGCCAAGCATCCAGATGGTGTGGATGGTATCGGGACGTTTGACGTGTAGTGCGTTCCCGAAATTTGGCGGCTGGGATTAATCCGAACAATTCCTCAGAGCACTCTCCGTGATAGATGCGATAAAATACGCAAAGAGATGCAACATCTCTTCGCAGCGCCAGTGAATCGAGCCGATCGGAAAGCACTCGGTCGTCGACGATTCGAGCCGCTCTGCGCTGGATGCGGTCAAGTGGAAGAAGCTGGTACTGGGGAGCCACAGCCCAGAGATGGGAACAGTATTCCATGTGCGGCCGAACCTGCGCCTTGTAAGTTGCAGGCGGTGTGCCGGCATGAAATACTGTCCCGCTCTGCTGAGCACGCCAAGCTTTTTAGAGGCCAATTTGGCCTTCCCTTCCAAGTGACCACGAAACTGCACGTCACTCGATATGTCGACGCCGAGGATTCCGATACTGGCTGAGGCAACAAGGGGGAGTGCCTTGAAACTGAGGGGATACGACAAAGGGGTTCTTTTTAGCGGTTAACCCGCAATCTTGTGTCTTCTGGGGGTTAAACTGGACTAGATTTAGTCGCCCCCAATCCGAGACTCTGTCCAGCAGAGACTCGACTTCAGACACAAGTTTGTCCCGGCACTCGGAGACGTTTTCCCGAGAAATATTGGCTCGGCCGGTGTAAAGAGCATCACCAGTGCTGTCATCTGCATAGCAATGAATGTTACGGGTATGCAACATGTCATTGATATGCAGAAGAAACAGCGTTGGCGATAGCACGCAGCCCTGTGGAACACCAGCATTAATAGGCTTGCAATCGGAGCTTGCACCGTCTACAACGACCTTGATGCTCCGATCTGCAAGAAAGCTGGTGATCCAATCGCACTATTTCTCGGGAAGCCCATAGGAAGGGAGCTTCGAAAGAAGCGCTTTGTGCCAAACCCGATCGAAGGCCTTCGCAATGTCCAAACTAACGGCCAATGCCTCCCCCTTGAACTCTACTGCCTCCGCCCATCTGTGAGTTAGGTAGACCAGAAGATCACCAGCTGACCGACCACGGCGAAAACCGTATTGGCGGTCACTAATCAGCTGGTGATCTTCAAGGTACCTCATGAGCTGGCAGTTTACAATGGACTCCATTGTTTTGGAGAACAAGGAGGTGATGGCGATTAGCCGGTAGTTGGACGGGACAGAGCGGTCGCCTTTTTTAGGGATCGGGTGGACGTAAGCCGTCTTCCATGATTTTTGGACTACGCCTAGGGAGTAGGAGTACCGGAAAAGACGCGATAAAACCGGTGCCAACTCTGGAGCACACGTCCTCAGCACAATTGGGGGGATTCCGTCAGGCCCACTCGACTTGTGGATGTCCAGGGAGAGGAGTGCTTTGCGAACCGAGCGCTGTGTGAAGTGCACTTCCGGCATGGAGCACTCACACCGCGGGATGGTCGGCGGCGTACTCTCCCGTCATCGAGAGTCGAGTTGGACGCAAAGAAAGAGCCTAGAAGATCGGCTTTCTCCTTTGCGGTATGGGCCAGTGAGTCGTCCTCCCTGTGCAGAGATGGAAGAGATGGCTGACAGAAATTCCCCTGGACAGCCTTGGCGAGAGACCAGAATGCACGGGTTCCAGAAGGAAGGCGAACTAGTTTCTCGCCAATTCTGCCTATGTGCTCTGATGTTACCTTGGCAATGACTCTTTTGAAGGACCTAGAGGCGGAATTATACTTCTTTTTTAGAGCGCTGGTGTTTACATCCCGGGACGCTGATGCATCAGCCCAGGCTTGGTAGCACTCCTGGGCCCTCCGCCCCCAAGGGTAGGATGCAAAGAAAGACCGCATCCCATCCCAATCGGCTGACCTATAGTGCCAAACACGGCGGCAGCCTGCAGAATGCAACCGCGATTTCAGCGTGAGTGGCACCACACTCCGGACCAGACAATGGTCCGAGGAGCCTAAAGGGGCGTCGACGGAAATCTGATATCCGTCCGGGTGAGAGGTCAGCAGAAGGTCCCACAGGGAAGGTGCATGATCCTCCACATCTGGAATCCGCTTAGGCGAAGTAACCAGTTGTGTCAGACCATATGCCAAGGCAAAATGAACAGATCTCCCCGCATGATCGGTTAAACGTGAACCAAGCCATTCGGCGTGATGGGCGTTAAAGTCGCCGAGGATCACGATCTCTGCGGAGGGGATCTGCTGTAGCAACGAATCTGCAGCCATTTGGACGTGGTCGAATAGTCGGTCTGTTTCGGCATTACCGCTATGGGACCTATAGAGGCACCCGTAGACGCGCGGATGGTCGTCGCTGTCTACGCGTAGCCAAAGGATGGACAGGTCCGAACCTTCAAGTCTGCCGAGGCGTCGAGAGCAGATGTCCTCTCTGACGTAAACGCAAAGTCCAGCCCGAGGCACAAAGGAGTGTTCCAGTTTGTACCCCGGGTAGGAGAGATACGAGACATCAGCCGGAGAGGACACCTGCGTCTTGGTCAGAAAGAGCAGAGCCGGCCTCGCCGTCTCGAGATGGTAGTGGACGGCGTTTAGGTTAGAGTGAAGTCCCCTGATATTGCAGAAATTCACGGACAGCGTGGCAGGGGTCGCCTTGGTCTTGTTGCTCCGTTTGCCCCGAGCAGTTGTAGTCTTGAGCGGAATTTTGCCCCCCCCCCCCAGAATACGTGGGGCAGCGTGAGCACCCACGCTCAGAAGTGGAGAAACATGGTCGTGGATGCTCAGCGAGGGATTCTCCAGGGATGCTGGTACCCTCCTGGGGTAGTCGATCATTATTTAATTCCGCTACCATGTTGATGGGGGGGGGGGGGATTTGGGCCTCCGGCCACCTGCACTCACCAGACGAAACGCGGAAGCAGAGCTTCCACTTCACGCCGGTATTCTGTGAGGTCGTGGTACCACCCCGGTTTGAGCCGGCCCATACGTGCAACAGCAAAGCTGCCGCGTGGCTCTACCACTGTTTTTGATTTAGTATGGAGTGGACCAAATTCATCTGATAACACTATTACGCCACTAGCCCGTGTCTAGTATAGTTTACGACGGGCTGTTTTCCGCAACTCCACATCTAAGTGCGTATTTTACGTGTGGGCAGGAATAACGTGGTTATTCGAGCCATGATATTTCCCCAAAGAAATTCAACAGTCCTTTGATGTTGCAAGCAACTTTGGGGAGCGATCCCAGTGTGCCAAGATGTTAAGCCCTGTATGAAGCGGCTTCTGGACATGTCAGCAAAACGTGAGCCGCCGTTTCTTCCTCTCCCATGCATGCCCTGCACAGGGGGGCTATCAGTAACACCTATGGTAAACATATGTTTGTTAAAAGAGCCATGTCCTGTGATAGCACTTGTTACTATCCTGATCTGTGGCTTGTTCAGTCTCATTAGAACCTTAGTTAGACGACTGTTTATTTCAGACAGGGCCTCCCTAGCTTGTCTACAGTCTACTAAATTTTTCCAAAGCTGAGCGTGTAAATTATTGAAGTATCTACGTACCAGTGAATGAATGTAGCCAAAGGGGATTGGTATTATTGGTTCCGGCCCTATAGTTGCCAGAGCCAATCCCCTTCTGGCCAGTTCATCTGCTGCATCGTTGCCTCTAGATCTACTGTGTCCTTTGATCCATTGCAGATTCACATTGTTGTGCTTACATACCTCATTCAATCGTTGATGGCACTCGCATATCAGTCCCAAGTTCGTCACATTGCAATTCAGAGCTTGTAGTACCACCATACTGTCAGTCAGTATTCTGATGGAGAAGTCTTTCACCTTCCTAGCATCTATTGCTATGGCCGCTTGGATGATACCCATGCATTCAGCCTGGAAGACTGTGTTGTGGGTACCCAGCGGTGTGCATATGTGGATATTAAGGTCTTCAGAGAAGGCCCCACCCCACCTTCATTTGTCTTAGAACCATCCGTGAAAACTTTGAGCTCTCTTGGACCCAATCCTTCCAGATGGTCAGTTTCCTTCAATTGTATCCTGTACTTCTTATCGAATACAAATTGTTTTGGGATCCTATCATACTTGGCTTATAAGATAGGAATTTTTGAGTAAATTCTATCAATTATATCTGTATGGGGGACTCTACTCTTACTTAAAAGATTTAGTGTCTTGAGTCTAATGACAGCTAAAGTTGCTTCTTGTTGTATATGTAGATGAAGCGGTGTTAGCTCCAGCATAGCCTCCAAAGCGGCTGTTGGTGTAGTCCTTATGCAGCCCGGGGCAGCCATACAAGCCAATCTCTGGTAACGCTGAAGCTTTCGTATAGTGGTGGCTTCATTGGTTTTGGTCCACCATACCAGAGAGCCATATGTGATCATGGGTTGAATTACAGTTTTGTACAGCCACAGTATAATTTTGGGCATTAAACCCCATTGTTTGCCAATCATGTTTCTGCATTGCCAGAAAGTTAAACTAGCTTTGCTGATTTTGTTTTCTATGTGTTTATTCCAGTTAAGTGCCTCATGTCTATCATGCAGCAATGTAAGAACATCTTATTTATTAAAAAACTAAGTGTATAGAAATCTGCTATATATTTTTATAGTAAATTAGATTAGGTAAAACTATAGACAGGTGCAGGAGAAGCCTCAACCGCAAGGCACAGCCGTTACGGCTCACATGGGTGTCTGCAATTCGTTATGGCGGATGGGGGCTTCCCTCCCTCTATGCCTACAATTTTACAAATCACTAGGGGTAGGGCAGACAAGAATACATGAAGTCATGCCATGCTGATTAAATTTTAAAACATTCAACCAATCTTATGTATAAAGTCAGGTTGCCCTAAACTCTGCTATGATAGTGGTAAATGAAACAATGTAATGTGAATTGTTGTAACTTTGTTTTCTGGAAAACCTCTTGACTGCTTTCCACTGTGAATCAATTTGTTGTATATGAGGCCACAAATGGATTTAAACAAACGGAAAACAAATTGACATAATTGCGTTTTATAATATGCAATTTTTGGTGGTGAAATTTATTTTTATCGTAATTAATTCAAAAGGAATTTTCTAAAACCAAAAACAGTGTTCAAGCTTAAGCCTGACAAACCTGTATTGAAAACAAAATTAAAAAAACAAGTACTGGATATCTACTTCATAATACTAGATCAATTTGACATATTTGCGTTTCACTATAAACAATAGTGAAATTTATCTTTATTGTAATTCAAAATGTATTTCCGACATCTTAAAACAGTCTAATAGGTTCAAGCTTATCCCTAAGAAGCTTCCTAAACTAAAAATATTATTGAAATCAAGTACCAGATGTCTATAGCCAACCCTTAAATTATTTAGACAGTTAATGTAAATTCCAACAGACGAACAAAATCTTAATTTAAGATATACACTTACACTTCTTTGGAATGGGATGCTGTTGTAAGAACAGTTCCTCTTCTCCCTGCTTCAGCATCTCGGCAGCTTTTCGCATATCCTTCTCATTAACAATCTTATCGAATTTTTCTCGGAGGAGTACCGCATGGTAGCGATACACATGACTGTACACAATGAAATTGTTTATTTGTTTATATGATAAATACAAAATTGTAAAACGGTGCGTTATCTACCTAAGTTTCTAAAATATCAAATGCTTTCGAAGTTATCTAACTATGAACTTAAGAAAATACATAACTTAATACAGATTTTTTTTTTCAATACAATAATAAATAATACTTAGAGGTTGTAGGTGGTACTTTTAAATATCTATAACGTAAAACAATTATTTAAACCTGTTATGAATGTAAAAATATTTTATATTCTTGTTTATAAAACCACCGATCTGAGAAAATAAGAAAAATAATTGAAAAAAATATTAACATGAAAACAATAATTACGTAATACGAAAACAGGTTGATGAATAGTAAATTCTATATATAGAAAATGTTATGCCTTACCGTCTATCATAATATGATTCTAAATTACGTAAAGTTCTTTTATAAAGGCTACAAACTTTTTGAATATGAGTCGAAATCCCTAAAGGAACATTCGCCATTTTTGTTGACTGAATTAAAAAATTTGACATCTGAGTCTGACATTGGCAGTTGTTGTCGTTACGATTCCACAATGAAAATGCAGGCAAAGATCTTAGACCATACGACCTAATTTGTATTTTGTTCCACAATATTCTGATGCGTCACATTACAAAGTTCTTGAAGAGGATTTGTATCACAGATGAACCCAGTGAGCTGTTATTAATCATCATCTTGCAAGGTCCCGAGTGACACATATTGTACAAAATCATTGAGGAAGATACGGCAGTTCACAGGATTCCATTACATAGATATTTTTAATGAAAAAGGGTAACAAACTAGCACAAAGCCCACCTTATGGTAAGTAAATGCTGTGACCAATAGACATCTGTTGTTGATTAAGAATCAAAATGCAAAATGTCACCCTTGAGAACTAAGATGAAAGCCTCGTTTTTAGTAAAGAGGGGTCTCCGATTATCTACATTCACCATACGATACACAGTAGCATTTAAGCTGGTATTTTACGTTGGTAAACTGAAGGAGCTGGCACTGGGGAGCCCCGACCCAAAGATGGTAAGAGTATTCCATGTGAGGTCGAAACTGCGCCTTGCAAGCGGTGTGCCGGCGTGAAATACTGTCTCCCTGTACTGATCACGCCTAGCCTTTTAGAGCCCAATTTGTCCTTCTCTTCCAGGTGACTATGAAACTGCACATCATGGGGTATGTTGACGCCGAGGATTCCAACATTTGATAAGGTCTTTTGGAATTTGTCTTCTAAGAGTAATAACTTAACACGCCTTTCAATAAAGCCACGATTTTCAATAAAGTTTCGATACTTCAAAATCTAATAAATAGTTAGTAGTTGTTATTAGTCCTATAGTAAGCGTAGCGCTCCGAGTTTAAATTTTATTTCACATAAACTTTCATGTCTTATAGGATTCACATTGAGATGGAAATTGAGATATCGTAATTTGGTACCTGCAATCGATATGGCACTAATATCATTTTTAAAGAATCACAGCACAGCATAAACTGTTTTTACAGTAGATGAAAAAGTTGATATGCTTAACGGCAATATATTAAAACTGTTTAATTAACATGATCCTAAGCGTGTCGTTCAACTTAAGCGTCCTCCTGTCCAAGGATCACAACTGGGTAAGAGTGGAAAAATGTGATAGAACTTTTCGTGCTTTTATGAGGAATCGTACTGATGTAAAGTGGCAAGCATATACTAAATCTACGAGAAAGCGATGCAATCAGATGGTTAGTGAATTCATCTTTGGCTGATATACGGAAGTTTCTCAATTATTGGGTATATAAAATCGCAATTAGACCATTATAGAACATCACCTTTTTTCTTGAAGATCGTAATCATCGCTCAATTATAAACAGTTATTGACAATTCTATAGCTAATGCTATCCCTTATATCTTCCATTCCATACCTTATTCTAATGAAACTTTTACCTTTTCTCCTGTAGATGAAGACGAGGTACGCAAAATACTTTTTTGTATAATTCGAAAATCATTAGTTGTAATGATGTGAGTAGGACAGTGTTTTTTTGCACGCTTTGGAGACTGTTTTATGACCCGTGATAACTCATATCATTCGCTTTTAGCTGACGAATGATGTTTGTCCATCTCTCAAGCGTAAAGTAAAAAGTAAAGAAAAGCTTTATTATTCTCATTCCTACATCCACTGATTGTGTGTGTTTTTATCTTTAAGGTTTTGAAAGCCGTTGCCTATAAATGGATTTCTTCTTTTATTTTCACAAATAATATTTTTTTCAAATAAAAAAAAAATAATTTTTTTTTACCAGTAGGGTTTCCGCCCTAGTTATTTTACAACTACTCGTCGCTCTTTCCATGGTGATGTAAGATATCAATGACTGTATCTCCGTCTTTTTTCATATATACACAGTCAGGTCATAAGTATTGTCACACAGTAAAAGCTTTTCTTTTAGAATGCTGGCCACAAAAAAGTTTATTGAATTCGAATTTCGAATTGTTCATGAAAATAAAACTGTATACTTTCGCTTTGTTGAAGCGGTACGCGGGAAAAAAATATCGGGAAATTCTTTTTTCGGATGAAAAATTTTTTACCGTAGAAGAGAGCTACAACAAACAAAATGATAAGGTGTACGCACACAGTAGTGAAGAAGCGAGCAACCGTATTCCGCGTGTGTAACGAGGTCATTTTCCATCCTCGCTCATGGTATGGTTGGGAGTTTCTTATTGGGGCTTAACAGAGGTACATTTTTGTGAGAAAGGTGGAAATTGCCGGAAGAAGGTGCTCTAGTATTAAATACTACTAATGTGTCTACTAATCTCGTCATAACCCACCGCCTTGGACTGGATTGCTATAATAGACTTTTTGACATCATTTTGAGAAACAAAAAAAAATAACTTAAACTCGTACTAAATATAGTCATCAATCAAACTCGTGCTAAATATATGTATCTATGTATATACGTACGTCTACTGTTGGGTACTGTCCTCTTCTCGTTTCTGAGAGGGTTTTAGCGCAAAGAAATGTCCGCCGCGCTGCCCCACTGCATGGTGGTCTTCGAAATTTTTTTGTGCTTATTCCTCAGACACCGTCGGCGGTGAAAGAAAATTCCTCATGGCATTTCTTTCACCGCCGAGCACATGGTAAATCAGCACTTAAAATTGGAACTAACAATTCCATTGGTGCCGACGGGGATCAAGTCCGGGTTGCTCTCATACTGTGAAATTTACCCCCTAGATTTAACCCCTGAGCTACCGCGGCTCTTTTTATTTTAAAATAGTGTTTTTTAAAGTGAAAACTTCTTTGGAATTGTTATGATTTATGAACTAGATAAAACAAAAAAGCGACACTAAAAAGAGACAAACATATACATCTATAGGATTTAGCCTGCGAGACAGTGAGCTAGTATACAGTGTTTCCTATTGTCTCCTTTTCTCAAGGTTTTACTTCTACCGCGAGTGAACTGCATACCTACATGTTTTTTTTTAATTTCAAATTTAGTTTAAAATAGCATATAATTCTAGGTATTATAAAAATTCCTCACTCCTGACAGTTAATACCAATGGATAGCGTTTTTATTTGGTTTTGGACTCATACAATAAGTACTTTTGCTATTGCCATCGTCATTATCAAAGCTCTCCATAAACCCACTGCTGAACTAACCATAGGCCTCACGCCAGTAATGCCACAAAACCTGTACACAAAGTACGGTGTCAAGCCACCTGCATCCATCGGTTTCCAGCATCTTATCAGGTCGTCACTTAATCTACTTAGTGGAAGATCGCCCTACACAGCGCTTTCCGCTACAAGGCTGCAACTCGAACAGATTTCTTCACCAACGGTTGTCTGTCAGGTTACTATGGTTCTACTGGAACTTTGTAACAGATTCTGGTGTCAGGATGCTTAAAGTCGCTCACTGAACGAAAAAGAAAAATGACAGCTTTTTTTAGTTCTACGATTTATTTAGCCGATTCCGGAGATAGAATGCGTAGAGCACTATGAGTGACAGATGATGTCGTCACACTTTTTGCGTGCCCCACATAGCTATAACTTCTAACTCAGTTTAACATCATCAGTGTGGACATAGACGTGTAGTGAATTATTGAGTTTTAAATTGTAAAGTAAGATGGGAATATGTTATAGTAAACTAAAACGTGTACCAAACATTTATTGTCTTCAAGAGTTAATATTTTTACGTAGGTCACTCAATAAGTTTTGAGATCCTCGAAATTTTAAAATGGAACGCACCCGTGTTATATGTTTCTAAAAAGCAAATTTATTTAAAAATAGAACTCTATAAGCCAATTGCTCAATATTAAAAAAAAAACAAAGTTCTATTAATTTTCCTGCAACGCTTCCCGCGCTTTTAATTTAAAACGGTGGATCTTAACCGTGAACATTTGCGCGCTATGATCTATTATGATTTTAAATTTAGTTTAATCGAACAATTAAGTTTACAACGGTTATAATCAGCATTACTTTTATTAGACTTAGTTCCATCACGAGAAACAATTTTTAGGAGGTTTGATGAATTAAAAAGGGGTAAAATTAACCTTAAAGATGACCAAAAAGCCCAAAAATGACCAAAGGGACCAACAGCAGTAACGGCAGAAAATGTATGGATTACTGAAATGTTGGTGTGAGAAGACCCACGAATCACATATACGGACATCGAGAAGATTCTAGGCGTTATTATTATTATTGTGGTATCTATGTAATTTTCTCACCTGGTTGGGTTCTATAAATATATAATTATAAATTAAAATTAAAAGATAAATATACATAAATATCAATAAAATAAAATAAACACAAAAACTACATAAATAAATAAGATCCAACCAGATGGGAGCCCTCGGCAGGGGAGACCAAACGGCCGAGGGTTAGGGGGAAAGGGAAAGAAACCGGCGGACGATGCGGGCAGTATCGAGGAGCACCGCCTTCTGCATTTGAGCCCGGAGCGGTCCGTCACGGAGTCCCAGTCGCCCCAGATGACCCGAGAGGCTGACTGGGATTAGCCCATTCGCAGAGACGACTACAGGGATAATTTCGGTCGGCAGACCACCCCACATGTCGGTCACCTCGTGAGACAGGTCCAGATATTTTGTTCGTTTCTCTGTTTTGGCTTTCACGAGGTTCTCGTCATACGGAATGGTAATGTCGATCAAAAATATCCTTGACTGTGCCCGGTCCATCAGCACAATATCAGGCTTATTCGCAAGAATAGTCCTGTCTGTGATGATGGCCCGGTCCCAGTAGAGCTTGGTGCGGTCATTTTCGAGCACGGCTTTCGGCAAGTACTTTTAATACGGCAATTTTCGGTCCACGAGACCGTATTTCAGAGCGAGCTCCTGGTGTAGAATTCTGTTTCTTATTATTATTATTTTATTATTATTATTGTGGGGTATCTATATAGTTTTCTCATCTGGTTGGGTGCTATAAATATATAATTATAAATGAAAATGAAAAGATAAATATACATAAATATCAATAACATAAAATAAATATAAAAGTACATAAATAAATAAAAGCCCAACCACATGGAGGCCCTCGGCAGGGGAGACCAAACGGCCGAGGGTTAGGGGGAAAGGGAAAGAAACCGGCGGACGATGCGGGCGGTATCGAGGAGCACCGCCTTCTGCATTTAAACCTGGAGCGGTCCGCCACGTAGTTCCAGCCGCCTCAGATGACCCGAGAGGCTGACTGGGATTAGCCCGTTTGCAGAGACGACTACAGGAATAATTTCGGTCGGCAGACCACCCCACATGTCGGTCACTTCGTGAGCCAGGTCCAGATATTTTGTTTGCTTGTCTGTTTCGGCTTTCACGAGGTTCTCGTCATACGGAATGGTAATGTCGACCAAAAATATCCTTGACTGTGCCCGGTCCATCAGCACAATATCAGGCTTATTCGCAAGAATAGTCCTGTCTGTTTTGATGGCCCGGACCCAATAGAGCCCGGCGCGATCATTTTCGAGCACGGCTTCCGGCAAGTACTTGTAATACGGCAATTTCCGATCCACGAGACAGTATTTCAGAGCGAGCTCCTGGTGTAGAATTCTGGCTACTAGGTTGTGCCTGTGCAAGTACTCAGAGTTAGAAAGCGCCGAACAACCGGAGATAACATGCCTAAGTGACTCACCGGGATGGCGACAAGCTCGACAGATGTCGACGGTGCCATCCTTTAGGATGTATCTCCGATAGTTGTTGGTCTTAATAACCTGATCCTGTATTGCACAGACAAAACCCTCGGTTTCCCCGAAGAGATCACCAAAGCGTAGCCAGTGGAGGGAGGCTACTGTGTCTACGAAAGGCTCATGTAGAGCCTTGTAGAACCTCCCGTGGAGCTCCTTCACCTTCCATACGGTCTCCCGGTCGGAAATGCTCTGCACTGCCGGGTCTTGCCATTGCTCGTTGGCTAAGGATAGAGGGGTAAGTCCTTTATCACAAGAAATGACGTCCTTATAGAATGGACCATCCGATCTCACCAGGAAGTAATCACAGAGGCTGCACACTTCGCGATTATGCATGGTGAGCGCGCTCAAGAAGCCACGCCCACCATGCTTTCGCGGCAAGTACAGCCTCATTACCGACGATCTCGGATGATACATCCTATGGGACGTCATGGTAGTGCGGACTTTTCTATCCAGGGCGTTAAGTTCAGTCTGAGTCCACCTGAGTATGCCAAAGGTATACATGAGGACAGGCATGACCCAGCCGTTATATGCGTGTGCCTTATTCACACCGGACAAAAGGCTGTTAAGCACTTTGGTCAACCGTGCATAAAACACGTCGCAAACTGACTCTCTCTGTGTGTGTCTCTCTGTGAGTCTCATCGATACCGATGTTTTGTGACATAACCAGGTATCGGTATGTTTCAGCCTCGGAAAGGGTCCTTAAGTTGACGGGCATAGATAAGTCTACGCCCTCAGAGTTAGCAACCCTTCCCCTTTCAACATGGAGGACCGCACACTTATCCGTCCCAAGCTCCATTCCAATGGAATTGCTAAATTCACAAGTGATGTTTAGCAATTCCATAAAATGGGAGCGACTGGAGGCGAATAACTTGAGGTCATCCATATAGAAAAGGTGGGTCACTTTTGTCCCTCCTTTCCGTAGCTGAAATCCCCTCCCGGAGCCCTCCAGTAAGGTACTGAGAGGGTTCAGAGAGAGGCAGAACCAGATTGGACTCAGACAATCGCCCTGGAAGATACCCCTTCTTATCCTTATGTGGTTCTCCGCAGCCATCATCCGCTCGCCCAGATGACAAAGGATCGTACTCCACTACCCCATACACTGCTCGAGGAAGTCTCTAACTGTACAGTCTATCTTGTACAGCTCGAGGACTCTCTTTAGCCATGTATGGGGCACCGAGTCGAATGCCTTTCTGTAGTCTATCCAGGCGGCGGAGAAGTTCCGACGGTTGCGTTTCACCACTTTGCCAATGACCGCGTCAATGAGGAGTGGTTCCTTGGTTCCACGACCAGAACCCCGACATCCATTTTGAGCGTGCGACATCACCTGATTTGAGTCCAGGTGACAAGTGATTCTCGCGCTCAAAATGGATGTTAGTGTCTTGTATATGGTCGGTAGACACGTGATGGGGCGGTATTTGCTCGGGTCTGTGGTACCCTGGTCTTTAGGAACCAAATGAGTGATCCCAGTAGTGAAGAGGCTTGGGAGCGACTTCTGGTTGAGAGCTTCTTGGAACTGTCGGGCAAGCACAGAGTGACACACCATGAACCCCTTCAGCCAGTAGTGATGCAGCCCGTCAAGCCCCGGACTTTTCCAGTTCGGGGCCCTACGGACCGCCTCAGCTACGTCATCCGGCGTTATGATGACGGGGTCCATGGGCGTAATACCCGCACACTGACTCGCCACAACTTCCGTCCAAGGGCCCTCGCTGTGGTTTACGGGCTCTGACCACAGGCCGCGCCAGAATGCTACAGTGTCGGCCTGATTCGGTGCTGGACCCGTTCCACTTACCATTGGTCGCTCCAATGATTCATAGAGCCTCTTCCGATCACTCTGGAAGAGACGATTCTGGTTGAACCGTGTCGACCTCTCGGTATATCGCCGAATCCGCTTTCCCCAAGCAGCGATTCTCTGCTTCAGATCATCTATGCGCTCCGTCAGTTTTTGCGTTATATCCGGCTGGGACAAACTGACATTTGTCCCAGCAAACGCCATCCTGACGGTGCGCACAATTCTTGGCCTGTTGTTGCCTGATCTGAAGCATATCAGTCTGCCGATGAGAGCTCTAGCCCTTGCGATACGTTCCTCAATTCTTCTTCTCCATGCTGGGATAGCGCTACTATGGCCAGTAGCGCGTCCAGCCGTAGAAACCTTGGCGCCTATGATACGGCAGACTGCCAGCCCGATTCCGCTTGCTTAGGGCTATGCGGGGAAGTCGCGGTCGATTTTCGAGAGGCGTACTGCGCGTTTCCACAATCGCCTCTTCCAATGTACTCCTCATATACTCTAATTCCAGTTCCTGGGCGACTGTTCCATCATCGTTTGAATCAACCACAACTGGGGTATTCACGGCGGCATCCACGTTTGCGGGTTGCTCTACCATTTGTGGCGCCGCATCCTCAGCCGTAGCATTCTCATCCGACGAGGGAACAGCCTCACGTCGTAGCCGTTCGAGTTCGGCGACATCAAATATATTTGAGCGCAAGATATACCGAACTCGGTCTGCCAGGTTTTGCTCTGTGACGGTTAAAGATGGCTCCAGCTCAGCAAAAAGACGATGCATCCTAGCCCGATACGCCAAACATCCAGTTTCTCCCCCTTTCGCCCTAAAATACGCCCGCAATGCGTTGCTGTTCATCTGGGTTGTCCAACGCATGCGGCGTACTCCACCAGAGGCGGGTGCCGATTGCTGGGCCCGCGAAGACCCTGCCGACACCAAGCCAGCTGGTGGGGATGATGGATGCGAGGGGCTGCTGGGTGGTCGTGCAGCACCTCGCGCTCGGCTGGCGGTTCGCATGCTGCCGCGTCCAGCGCCAGCTCCAGACGCGCCCTGGCGACCTCCAGGCAGCGGCCCTTTGCGCGTTCTATTTAATTCCATCATCCATTTTAGGGCGTCATTTAGCGGGAGACGCCCAGACCCGGCGCCGTTTCATGTTGAGGCCATGTGCACAAGCGGGCCTTTGCACCTTCAATTTTTGCCGAGGCACGGCACTAACACCTCTTGGTAAGGTGCTGACTGACTGCGCTGACGTAGCGGTTTTGTCACATAACCGTTACGTCAGCGGGCTATGGGGTCGTCACTTCCCTACGCCAATTAGAATAGTCCTGTCTGTGATGATGGCCCGGTCAGTAGAGCTTGTTGCGGTCATTTTCGAGCACGGCTTCCGGCAAGTACTTGTAATACGGCAATTTTCGGTCCACGAGACCGTATTTCAGAGCGAGCTCCTGGTGTAGAATTATGTTTCTTATTATTATTATTTTATTATTATTTTGGGGTATCTATATAGTTTTCTCATCTGGTTGGGTGCTATAAATATATAATTATAAATGAAAATGAAAAGACAAATATACATAAATATCAATAACATAAAATAAATATAAAAGTACATAAATAAATAAAAGCCCAACCAGATGGAGGCCCTCGGCAGGGGAGACCAAACGGCCGAGGGTTAGGGGGAAAGGGAAAGAAACCGGCGGACGATGCGGGCGGTATCGAGGAGCACCGCCTTCTGCATTTGAACCTGGAGCGGTCCGCCACGTAGTCCCAGCCGCCTCAGATGACCCGAGAGGCTGACTGGGATTAGCCCGTTTGCAGAGACGACTACAGGAATAATTTCGGTCGGCAGACCACCCCACATGTCGGTCACCTCGTGAGCCAGGTCCAGATATTTTGTTTGCTTGTCTGTTTCGGCTTTCACGAGGTTCTCGTCATACGGAATGGTAATGTCGACCAAAAATATCCTTGACTGTGCCCGGTCCATCAGCACAATATCAGGCTTATTCGCAAGAATAGTCCTGTCTGTGATGATGGCCCGGTCCCAATAGAGCCTGGCGCGATCATTTTCGAGCACGGCTTCCGGCAAGTACTTGTAATACGGCAATTTCCGATCCACGAGACCGTATTTCAGAGCGAGCTCCTGGTGTAGAATTCTGGCTACTAGGTTGTGCCTGTGCAAGTACTCAGAGTTAGAAAGCGCCGAACAACCGGAGATAACATGCCTAAGTGACTCACCGGGATGGCGACAAGCTCGACAGATGTCGACGGTGCCATCCTTTAGGATGTATCTCCGATAGTTGTTGGTCTTAATAACCTGATCCTGTATTGCACAGACAAAACCCTCGGTTTCCCCGAAGAGATCACCAAAGCGTAGCCAGTGGAGGAGGCTACTGTGTCTACGAAAGGCTCATGTAGAGCCTTGTAGAACCTCCCGTGGAGCTCCTTCTCCTTCCATACGGTCTCCCGGTCGGAAATGCTCTGCACTGCCGGGTCTTGCCATTGCTCGTTGGCTAAGGATAGAGGGGTAAGTCCTTTATCACAAGAAATGACGTCCTTATAGAATGGATCATCCGATCTCGCCAGGAAGTAATCACGGAGGCTGCACACTTCGCGATTATGCATGGTGAGCGCGCTCAAGAAGCCACGACCACCATGCTTCCGCGGCAAGTACAGCCTCATTACCGACGATCTCGGATGATGCATCCTATGGGACGTCATTGTAGTGCGGACTTTTCTATCCAGGGCGTTAAGTTCAGTCTGAGTCCACCTGAGTATGCCAAAGGTATACATGAGGACAGGCATGACCCAGCCGTTATATGCGTGTGCCTTATTCACACCGGACAAAAGGCTGTTAAGCACTTTGGTCAAGCGTGCATAAAACACGTCGCAAACTGACTGTTTCATACCAGTCTCATCGATACCGATGTTTTGTGACATACCCAGGTATCGGTATGTTTCAGCCTCGGAAAGGGTCCTTAAGTTGACGGGCATAGATAAGTCTACGCCCTCAGAGTTAGCAACCCTTCCCCTTTCAACATGGAGGACCGCACACTTATCCGTCCCCAGCTCCATTCCAATGGAATTGCTAAATTCACAAGTGATGTTTAGCAATTCCATAAGATGGGAGCGACTGGAGGCGAATAACTTGAGGTCATCCATATAGAAAAGGTGGGTCACTTTTGTCCCTCCTTTCCGTAGCTGAAATCCCCTCCCGGAGCCCTCCAGTAAGGTACTGAGAGGGTTCAGAGAGAGGCAGAACCAGATTGGACTCAGACAATCGCCCTGGAAGATACCCCTTCTTATCCTTATGTGGTTCTCCGCAGCCATCATCCGCTCGCCCAGATGACAAAGGATCGTACTCCACTGCCCCATACACTGCTCGAGGAAGTCTCTAACTGTACAGTCTATCTTGTACAGCTCGAGGACTCTCTTTAGCCATGTATGGGGCACCGAATCGAATGCCTTTCTGTAGTCTATCCAGGCGGCGGAGAAGTTCCGACGGTTGCGTTTCACCACTTTGCCAATGACCGCGTCAATGAGGAGTGGTTCCTTGGTTCCACGACCACCGCCCCGACATCCATTTTGAGCGCGCGACATCACCTGATTTGAGTCCAGGTGACAAGTGATTCTCGCGCTCAAAATGGATGTTAGTGTCTTGTATATGGTCGGTAGACACGTGATGGGGCGGTATTTGCTCGGGTCTGTGGTACCCTGGTCTTTAGGAACTAAATGAGTGATCCCAGTAGTGAAGAGGCTTGGGAGCGACTTCTGGTTGAGAGCCTCTTGAAACTGTCGGGCGAGCACAGAGTGACACACCATGAACCCCTTCAGCCAGTAGTGATGCAGCCCGTCAAGCCCCGGACTTTTCCAGTTCGGGGCCCTACGAACCGCCTCAGCTACGTCATCCGGCGTTATGATGACGGGGTCCATGGGCGTAATACCCGCACACTGACTCGCCACAACTTTCGTCCAAGGGCCCTCGCTGTGGTTTACGGGCTCTGACCACAGGCCGCGCCAGAATGCTACAGTGTCGGCCTGATTCGGTGCTGGACCCGTTCCACTTACCATTGGTCGCTCCAATGATTCATAGAGCCTCTTCTGATCACTCTGGAAGAGACGATTCTGGTTGAACCGTGTCGACCTCTCGGTATATCGCCGAATCCGCTTTCCCCAAGCAGCGATTCTCTGCTTCAGATCATCTATGCGCTCCGTCAGTTTTTGCGTTATATCCGGCTGGGACAAACTGACATTTGTCCCAGCAAACGCCATCCTGACGGTGCGCACAATTCTTGGCCTGTTGTTGCCTGATCTGAAGCATATCAGTCTGCCGATGAGAGCTCTAGCCTTTGCGATACGTTCCTCAATTCTTCTTCTCCATGCTGGGATAGCGCTACTATGGCCAGTAGCGCGTCCAGCCGTGGAAACCTTGGCGCCTATGATACGGCAGACTGCCAGCGCGGCGCCAAAAAGAATTGAGTCCGTCTCGCAAAGGTCCCGGCTGGCTTCCAAATAGGTAACCAGCATTGGGTTCAGAGCCCTCACGACAGCCCGATTCCGCTTGCTTAGGGCTATGCGGGAAAGTCGCGGTCGATTTTCGAGAGGCGTACTGCGCGTTTCCACAATCGCCTCTTCCAATATACTCCTCATATGCTCTAATTCCAGTTCCTGGGCGACTGTTCCATCATCGTTTGAATCAACCACAACTGGGGTATTCACGGCGGCATCCACGTTTGCGGGTTGCTCTACCATTTGTGGCGCCGCATCCTCAGCCGTAGCATTCTCATCCGACGAGGGAACAGCCTCACGTCGTAGCCGTTCGAGTTCGGCGACATCAAATATATTTGAGCGCAAGATATACCGAACTCGGTCTGCCAGGTTTTGCTCTGTGACGATTAAAGATGGCTCCAGCTCAGCAAAAAGACGATGCATCCTAGCCCGATACGCCAAACATCCAGTTTCTTCCCCTTTTGCCCTAAAGTACGCCCGCAGTGCGTTTGCATTCATTTCTTGTGACCAACGCATGCGACGTGCTCCACCAGCGGCGGGTGCCGCTTGCTGAGTCCGACAAGACCCAGCCGACACCAAGCCTTCTGGTGGGGATGATGGATGCGGAGAGCTGGTAGATGACCGTGCAGCTCCTCGCGCTCGGCTGGCGGCCCGCATGCTGCCGCGTCCAGCGCCAGCTCCAGACGCGCCCCGGCGACCCCCAGGCAGCGGCCCTTTGCGCACTATCTTTTTATCCATCATCCATTATTTGGGCGTCCATTAACGGGAGACGCCCAGGCCCGGCACCGTTTCGTGTGTAGCCATAAGCACAAACGGGCCTCTGCACCCTAAATTCTGCCGCGGCACGGCGCTCACACCTCTCGCAAGGCGCTGACTGACTGCGTTGACGTAGCAGTTTTGTCACTTAACTGTTACGTCAGCGGGCGATGGGGTCGTCAATTCCCTACGCCTTTATTATTATTATTTTTATTATTATTTCGGGGGAGCATTCATACCATCCTACATCAACATCTTGGAGTGAGGAAGCTTTGTTGTCGATGGATCCCTCGTTTGCTTTCCGAAAGCGAAAAACAGACTCATGTGGATTGGTGCCATGAAATGCGTCTACTTACGTCTTGAAAACGGGGCATCTAGGCGTGTTTCAGAAATCGTTACTGGTGACGAGATATGGATCTATCAATATGATCCGGAAAATAAAAGGCAATCATTGGTATGGTTCTACTCAGAAGGACAGTTACCAACGAAACTGCAAAGACCTCGCAACGTCGGCAAAAAATTGTGGCTAGTTTTTTTCGCGGAGCGGACATTTGTCGATGTCATGTTGGAAAATTGTAGGTATGTTGGAAAATTGTAGGTCAGTCAACACTGAATGGTATACTACAGTTACATTATCCAAAGTTTATCAAGCTGGAAGAGAAGACCAAAGACCGGGCTTCGGGGAATCATGCTGCATCGCGATTACGCCTCTTCACATACCTCCCTTAGAACAAAAGCAATTATTGAGGAATCTGGTGCTGAAACTCTAAGTCACCCATCTTACAGTTAGCCCCTTGTGATTCTTTGTGTTCCCAAGAGTCAAAGAAAAAATAAAAGGCAAGTTTTTTCAAGCGCCGAAGAAGCCGTGGCTGCCTACGAAGAAGTCTGCAGACTAGCCGCAGAATAGATTTGCCTATCATAAATCTATCATAAGTCTAGTTGGGTGGTAAAAGGTAACAAAAATTACGATACAAAGATTAAAAAGGAACATGGGATATCGTATCATCGGTTAATAAATTTATATTAATTTTGTTTAAATTAAATTATTAGTACCTGGATGACCTGAAATTACATTTAGATACAAATTACATACGGATGAAACATGATTAATCTTTTTTGATCTTATTGACATAATATAAAAAACTGAACTGGTTATTTGAAGAAAAAAACAATTGCAATTAGTTTAATTAAAATTTTCGTATTTTTAAAAAATTCTAAAAAAAAGGGCTCCAAATAATAGATTTTCTCACAAAAAAGGGAACTTGAAAAAAAAAAAGGAAAAAAGTCGGATCGAAGACAGGACGGGAACTAAGACATTACGATTTCGCGACCGCTCGTTATCCACTTGAGCTATTACGACCATTAACACAGCGTTAAAATTTCTTGTATAATATATACAAGAATTGCTCGTTTAAAGGTATAGGATATAAACGCATTTTTAAAGTTTTATTTTACAGTTAGTTTAGAAGTTACGTCAGCAATATTAGGCTAGAGTTGGATTCAGCCCTCAAAAATATTGTACATGGTAAATAAAATTATACTATTTCAAAAAAATTATATCGGTTTTGACGTTTCATGTTCTTTTTTCCCATGTGCTGGGATTTTGGCGTCACGCGTCTAGTTTACTTATACGTTACGTTTTTTGATAGTTTTATTTTCATATCTGTTTATTTTTGTCTAAAGAACTTAATGTAAGGTAAAATTTTGAATATTGGTACCTAATATATTTTATATTCAATAAGGGTAAAACGAAAAGAGTACAAAAGAAACCATATCTGCTTAATCGAATCTGAAAATCTGATTCATAAAATATTTTGATAACATAAAATGAGTTTTTATCGTGGTAACCCCTCACTATAGTTGTATTATGGATGCAACATAAATGCATCGATTGAGCACCGATTGACCAGAAAGGGAGCTAATTCTAATTTTATTAAAAAAAAACGCGGTACTTTTGTACAATACAGAAATTCTCGATATCGTAGGGTTAATATTAAAAAGTAAAAGGACCCAATAATAATACAAGTCGACCTTTATGTGAAATTATGGTATTTTCGCTAAGTATTATTACGAGACTATATACAAAAAACTATGAAATAATGGTATAATTAGGATAATTAGACTACGAAATCCGACCCTCGCTACGTCGTGTTATGATATGACGTTTGTATTATGACAGATGCGCTACTTTTTCCTGTATGTAAAAGTTACTAGTAAAATATTTTAGATGGGCCTATCCTTCCTTTTGAAATCATTTCAATAATCACGTCAATTGTAAAGTGCGAATGAATACGATTAGAACCAACAATTAGACGATAAATATACATAATATAATTTTCTGAGTATATTTCAAAGAATACATCAGCTTTGTAAAACTATGTTACGAATTAGGTTTTGCTATCACCCTTCCTGACAACTTTAAGTTGCTCAGGAAGTATTTGTAACGTCATATTGGAATGGTGGGAATGGGTATTTCGTTACTTATATATAAAAATGTGTATAGTAAATAAGTAAAGTTGTAAACGTCGAACTTCAACCGACAGGTCAATCGATGGATTCAACTTAACTGTTGGCATTGTTCGGGAGACGTCGTCTGGTCACGTATACTTTAAAACTTGAAATCAAGAGTTTACAACCAGTTTGTATTGGCATTGATAACATACGGAACTGGTCCGTGACGTGATCTTTCACTGCTGGCCGTATAAGGAAGCTCAAGGTCGCTCAGCGATAGGACCGTAGTAACGATTGAGCGGAGGGACGAGCGATTGACCAAAGCTGGTTGAAGAGGCGCGATCTTTTCCATCATTATGTTCAGTCCTTCACAGTACACATCTGCAGTAATTTTCATCCCGTTTGGTAAAAAGCTGTGATGAATCACAACGGCGCTAGATGCTAGAATACCAAACAGTGACCATCCCTTTTCTAAGGGTAATTTTTGGTTTTTGGGCACTGTTTAGGTGCTTAACTTGAATCCAACCAACTTGCTGAGCGCTTGCGATTGTCAAACAGAATCCATTTTTCGTCGCAGGTAAAAACAGAATCCATTTGTCCGTTGAGTGGTGTCAGGCATGTCTCGATGCGTACTTCGCGCTGGTGATCATTGAGTTCGTGGGGCATCCATTTGCCAGGCTTTTTTACCTTGCCAATTTGACGCAAATGGACCAATATTGTTTTGATGCTATCGTCGCAATGTGCTGCTAATTGAGCCGTAGTATCATAAAATTCCACAATCTTCTTTAATTCGTTATTGTCGACCAGTTTTCGGGCGACCATAGAGTTCATTTTTCAGGTCGTAATTTTCAGAACGGAAGTGGGCACACCAATAACAGGTGGTTCGTTTCGTTCGTTTATATAGTATTTGTTTCGTAAACGTTGATGTTGCGTGCCGCTTGTGCCGCGTTGCTGCCACGACGGTATCATATTCCATAATTACGAATTTTTAACGTACCCATGATGACGAAAAAGCTTCAAACGAGATAAAAACGTACGCTAATTAATAAACAAGTTACTTATTTTGAAAAATGATTCCATGTTTTTAAAATAAAATTAATTTGAAATTAGATCATCATCAATAAGTATTACGGACTTGGGGTGAAAAATACCAGGATTGGGGTTAGACCTGCCGGGATTTGGTGTCTGGCGATTTAAACCCCGTTCTTGTAAAAATTAACATAATTCTAGGTTATTTTTGACTAAAAGTAAGTATATGGATTATGAACCCAATTACAACAACAATAAGAAGAGAGTCATTAAGATTAACCCTTAACTGGTATACATGGGTCCAAACAAACCTGGACTAACTTTTGATCGATCATAATTCATAAGTCAACATTTATTCGATATTCACTCACACTGCGCCCTGTATTCCTCGGTTGCACTGAACACTACAACCATAGATTACTGTGTATATACTAGAGAACTACAATGCAAGTGCACTCGTGTCTAGTATCTGCACGAATTTTCGGAATTACGTACGCCCTCAGGTCAAATTTGACCCGTTGTTTCGGAGGCAAAGTTTGGAAATGGCGGCAAATGAAGAAGAACAAATACTGCGTTGGCTTCATGAGTGTGATAGTGACTCGGACTGTGGTGACAACTGCCCCGAACATATTGATAACGACTAAGTGTCTGAAATAAGTGAATTGGAGAATAACTCGGAGGAGTCATCACGTTTCGCACTATGAGAAGTGTTTTGCTGAGACTGTTCCACAAAATGACGAGCTCGTTCGTGGTGGACCATTACCACCACCACCACCATCACGATCACGTTGTTTATCCAGAGGCTACTGGTTACATACGTTATCAGTTAAAATGGTCAAAGACGCCTCCATCTTCTTCGAGAACTCGACGTGAAATCATTGTTACCCGATTACCTGATTTGGCATGGGAAGCGCGTAGAAACAAGCCGACATCTAGATGAACTAACTGGAAAGATTCTAGAATTTACCTACGAGTAAATAACAGACCTGTCCTCAAACGACAGAAAACGAAAACGTTGTCATATTTGTTCCTCGAAAAAGCAGTACCAGTACCACCAGTAAGTATAAATAAAAAAATATTTAGTTACAGGCCTATAGGTCTTTAGTTGTATTATTATTTATCCATGTTATATCTATTTACATGGCTGTTTGTTGCCTTGAATAAATTAAAAAAAAAAAAAAAATAAATAAAATTATTAGATTATTATTTTGAATGTTTTTGTATAATTTCTTCTTTCCTCATTTTCCCACAAACTCAAGGGCCATAGCCAAGTGTCGAAAGGTCGCCTGATGATGTCGAGCCACGTTGGATGTGTGTTAGTGGGCTGCGGCTAGAGGAGATTCCTCTCCCTGTACCGCTGTAGTCGAGGTGGAGTCGTCAAGGAAGAGGAGTGTAGGTATGGCGATTGGCGATGCGATGCCACTCGACTATCCTTCGTTACTAAGGTGAGGCTGCACCACTTGATGCTTCCAAGTGCTCGGTTTTCCTGGCTCCATTCACAT